GAGAGAGAGTGAGGGAGAGAGAGAGAACCGCCGGCGTCCTCAGATCTGAAGGCCAGAGAAGGACGTGACCGACACCACCCCTCCAATCCTCACCGGAATCCTCCGATCGGCGCGTCCCCAGAAGCCGGCGTCCAACGGAGCAACGCGTGAAGCTCACGCGCCGTCACAAGCCTCTGCGCGTGAAGTCCACGCGCCGTCACAAGCCGCCGCGCGTGAAGTCCACGCGCCGTCGCCAGATCCGTCCCAGTACAGTACTTCGTCCAGAAGATGAATCCACAAGACTTTCCACCACTTTTTGGGTCCGTTCACAATATGCCTGTCGAAAAAGGCACCATTCCAATGGCTTTTATGTCTGGCACATCCTCAAATACTCAAGGTACTCCTTCACCAGTAGCCCCCTCCAAAACTTCTGATCCAATGCCAGATTTGACAACAGTCACTGAACAGCAACCTATGATGGTGGCTCACAAACTAAATGGCAACAACTACCTCCAATGGTCCCAGAGTGTATTGATGTATCTACGTGGGAAGCGTAAGGAGAAATATATTAATGGAGAAGCAAGACAACCGGCATACAACGATCCCATTTTTGACACCTGGTTCGCTGAAAATAATCAGGTGATGTCTTGGCTATGTAACTCAATGACTCTTGAAATCAGTGAGGGATACCTTCTTGCAAGCACAGCCAAGGAAATTTGGGATGCTGCTAAGCGCACTTACTCTACCTTGGACAACGCTGCTGCTTTGTTGGACCTAAGGAGGCAACTCAAAGAACTGAAGCAAGGAAACTTGACTATAACACAGTACTACAGTACTCTGACAAAGATATGGCAGCAATTGGATCTCTTTGAAGTACATCCTTGGAAGAATATTGATGATGCTAATTACTACAGACAACTAGTTGAAAAGGGACGAACATATGATTTTCTGTTGGGTTTGAATGATGCTTTTGAAGAAGTAAGAGGCAGAATTATGGGTCTAAAGCCCCTTCCATCCCTATTTGAAGTCTTCAGTATGGTTAAGTTTGAAGAAAGTCGGAGACACCTCACTCAGGGTAACCAAACTCCAGTTGATGCCTCAGCTTTAGTCACAAGGGGACCCCAGACATCAGAGAGCTTTGAAAGAAAAGGGAACAAGTGGTGCAATCACTGTAACAAGAAAGGCCACACCAGAGATGAATGCTGGAAACTGCATGGAAAACCAACCCATGGGAAACAGCAACAGCGTCGAGATGGAAAAAGCCACCACACCTCCTCCGAAGAAAGAGGTGATGATGGAGATCGCTTAACCAAAGAAGAACTTCAACTGCTCCGAAAGGTGCTCGAAAGGCAAAACTCATCAAAAAAGGTTCCCAATGTGAACTTGATTCAGTCAGGTAATTCTATTATTGCTCTTAATGCAATGGTCACTAGTGATGAAACATGGATTGTCGACTCTGGTGCTACAGACCACATGACTGGTAATAAATCCCTCTTCAAAACTCTCAAATATTGCCATGAGAACCTCCGAGTAAAAGTGGCAACTGGACTATATACTAAAGTTGAAGGTGTTGGCACTGTGGCCCTCTCTGATGACTTGGAAATTCATAATGTTTTGTTTGTTCCTGCTCTCACTTGCAATCTTATATCTGTCAGCAAACTGACTAAAGGACAAGTATGTCGGGTGATCTTTGATGATGTTAACTGTGTTTTTCAGGATTCGATCTCGGGGAGGAAGATTTTGACTGCTAAGGAATGGGATGGACTCTACTACTTTGAAGGAAAGGACATGAAGACAAAAGGAGCAAGGAAGGCTATGGTTAGCTCCAATTCTCAAAATAAAAATGTAATGTTGTGGCATCAAAGATTAGGCCACCCCAGTTTTGATTATATGAAGCATGTGTTTCCAACATTATTCAATAAAAATTCTTCTCCTTTCCAATGTGAAACTTGTCAAATTGCCAAACAAACTCGCACATCTTTTCCCAAGCATACTTACAAACCCACTAACCCTTTTGCATTGATCCACACCGACATTTGGGGACCTGCCAAAACCAAAACCCGAACAGGCACAAGGTGGTTTATCACATTCATCGATGATCACACACGGGTTACATGGGTTTATCTTATGAAAGAGAAATCCGAAGCCTTACAAATTTTCAAAAACTTTTATGCCTTTGTGAAAACCCAATTCCAAACTCCCATCAAAGTACTGAGGAGTGACAATGCCAAAGAGTATGTGAGTGGAGCCTTTAGGGAATTTCTTGAGCAACAGGGAATCCATCACCAAACCTCGTGTGTCTATACCCCACAACAAAATGGCGTTGCCGAGCGGAAAAATAGACACCTTTTGGAAGTAACCCGAGCCATTATGATGGAAAGAAATGTTCCAAGCCTGTTTTGGGGAGATGCAGTACTAACTGCAGCCTATCTTATTAACAGAATGGCCTCCAAAGTCCTCAACTTCCAAACCCCTATTCAAAAACTCCTTGAGACCTACCCTGCCTCACCTATCATCAATACCATCCCACAAAAGGTCTTTGGGTGTGTGGTCTTTGTCCATAAACATGATGGGGGAAAACTAGGTGCTAGAGCCGAAAAATGTTTCTTTCTTGGGTATTCCTCAACCCACAAAGGCTATAAGTGTTACTGTCCCTCTACCAGAAAACTCATAATCTCCAAAGACACAGTTTTCTATGAAGATGATGCATACTATCCCAAATTACCCATTCAGGGGGAGAATTGTGGAGTAGAATGGCTAATTACCCCTGAACCTGAGACCAACGCACCTCCTAATCCTCCAGAACTCTATACACCGCACGAAGAAATCCCTGAACCTGAACCAGAAACCCCTAAACCTACATCTCAACCAGAACAGCCCAAAACCCCCACAAACAATACTCACACAATGGAAACAAATGCTGAAATTGATGCAGGGGTGACAGAGCACTCAAGATCTCACTCAAGTGAACAAGACAGTAGTAGTGGGGTTCCTTCCATTCCAAGGCAGCAACATGATTCCAATCCGGAGTTGGATCCTGAAGAACTAGGATGGCCTATTGCACTTAGAAAGGGGGTAAGGTCTTGTACTCAGCATCCTATACAACGATTTGTCTCTTATGGCAATCTATCTGCTAGAATGCAAACCTTTGTGGTGAATAGCTCACAGGTGAAAATTCCAGAAACATTTCAACAGGCCATGAAAGATCCTAACTGGAAACATGCAGCATATGAAGAGTTGAAAGCCCTGAAGGAGAATAACACGTGGGATATAACCACACTTCCTAAGGACAAGAAAGCAGTAGGTTGCAGGTGGATCTTCACACCGAAATTCAACCCTGACGGAAGCATCAACAAGTACAAAGGGAGATTAGTTGCAAAAGGGTACACTCAAACTTATGGGATTGATTATCAAGAAACGTTTGCTCCCGTGGCAAAGTTCAATACCATCCAAGTACTCTTATCCCTAGCTGCTAATCTTGACTGGTCCCTACATCAACTGGATGTAAAGAATGCTTTCCTAAATGGAGACTTAGAGGAGGAAGTATACATGGAAGTTCCAGATGGAGTAATAGCTCCACCTAATTCAGTTTGCAAACTGAAGAAGTCATTATATGGCCTGAAACAGTCTCCACGGGCATGGTTTGACAGGTTTGCCAAAGCAATCAAAAGGTTTGGTTACAACCAAGGACAAGCTGATCACACTCTTTTTGTCAAACACAATGATGGAAAGGTAACGATCCTAATTGTGTATGTGGATGATATAGTCATAACTGGTGATGATGAAGCTTCGATCTCTCAACTCAAGAAAGCCCTAGCTAGAGAATTCCAAGTGAAGGACCTAGGTCAAATGAGGTACTTTCTCGGAATGGAGGTTGCTAGGTCCAAAAAGGGTATAAGTGTGTCACAACGGAAATACACACTTGATTTACTCCATGAAACAGGGACACTTGGGGCTAAGCCGAATGGAACACCTATGGAAGAGTCATGCAATCTGGAGGTTAAACCAGAAGGGATACCGGTTAACTCAGAAAGATACAGAAAACTTGTGGGTAAACTGATCTACTTGACCCATACACGACCTGACATTAGTTATGCAGTTGGGGTGGTAAGCCAATTTATGCACCAACCTCAGGAAGAACATATGGAGGCTGTGTACGGAATCCTTTCCTATCTTAAACTCAATCCTGGAAGGGGAATATTTTTTAAAAAGGGGAATACAAGAAACATAGAAGTCTATACTGATGCAGACCATGGGAGAGCTGTAGATAACAGGAGATCTGTCACAGGTTACTGCACCTATGTTTGGGGAAATCTTGTGACTTGGCGAAGCAAGAAACAGACCGTAGTCTCAAGAAGCAGTGCTGAAGCTGAACTAAGAGCTGTAGCTCTAGGGGTGTGTGAAGGAATGTGGGTGATTAGACTCCTGAAGGAATTGAGAATTCCCTATGAAGGACCAGTGAACCTCTGGTGTGACAACCAAGCCAGTATTGAAATGACAAAGAATCCAGTGTATCATGACCGAACAAAACATGTCGATATTGATCGGCATTTTATCAAAGAAAAGGTAGAAGGTGGTATCATCAACTTAAGCTATGTGCGTTCGATTGATCAGATTGCTGACATCATGACCAAACCTTTAGCCAGAGTCAAGTTTGAAGGGCTTCGAAGCAAGCTGGGGATGGTTGACATCTACTCTCCAGCTTGAGGGGGAGTGTTAGAAAGCCCATGATTCTTGCCTATCATTAAGCATGAGAATAATATCCCTGATTGTATGCTGTCATTAATTGTAGTGATTGTTTTTTTGATTCTAGCCGGATTATTATCACTGTCCGGACCCTATATATTGTAATGATCTTATATGAAATAATACAATGGAGTGAAACACTCAGATTTAAACAAATATATCCAAGTTCGTATTGCATTAATGATGGAAATAATAACAGTCAAAGAAAAAGGGCCAAAAAGAAATGTCAATTCCTAAAAACCAATTAATTGAACTGGTTTGGCTGAATGTCATACCCAAAATTGCAGGTCACCAATCATGAAAATACCCTTTATCCCCTATTGTTGATGACCCAGCCCTTCATTGTTTGGAAGTAAGCAAAGCATAAGACCACTTTACAAGAAATGAAGTCCTCATTAGTCGCTCACTTGATGCAGCATCCACGACTCCTTGCCTAGGCTAGGACGTTCTACAAAATAAAGGATTAATTTCACTACTTATCCATCCAGTCAACGCCTTTCTATGCAAATAGAGTACACTTAATCATGAAAAGCGGCTGAGTTTCTTAGTCCCATGATTTTATTAAAGGATATCTAGTGTTTATATAGACATAATTGAGGCCACAAGAATGCCCCCAACAAAGGTAACTAGGTTAAAATCTATCTAAATCCCTTAAAGGATAAAATAAAATAAATTAAAAACAAATCTGACTTGATAAGGATAAACTAAAGAGATAAAATACTAATAAACAGAATAATAAGTAAATAATAAATAACATGGGACATGCCATTCAACAGTTACAGTGCTAATCAAATAACTCACGTCCCAAGTTTCTAATTTGAAGAACAAAGAAAAGGGGAAAAATTCAAGGAGCTCCAATTATAAGGGAAGGGATGTGCAAACAGGACACAGATGGGCAATATAAAATCCAACATACTCCATTTCGAAAACACAACACAACAAAGCGGCAGCCTCACTTTCAGGAATGAAGAGGAAAAAATATACAAAAGCACAACTATTTCCTACAAAATCATGGAACATTAACTCAAAACAGTACATACATTAACCGCATATATGCATGAGAGATGTAATCAGGACTGACATGGCTTGATATAAAAATCTAGCTGCACAAAGAATTCTCTAAAAGCTTCAGAAAGATCTTTCTATTCACCAGGAGAACCTATCTTAAAATATCAATTTTCATATTTCTATATCAATATAAGTCCGTCATTCTAACAAAATATTAGCCTCATCCTCTTTATCATTTTTCTGATTAGTTTATTCTTAACATTCGTGATTCAACATCTTCTACACAAAGTATAAGAATACACATAGTATGCACATAGATACACCATTATCACACACAATGACATAATTACTGCACACACATGCAGTATATGTACTCTAGCAGTTACAACCAATGAGGCCCAATTGCATATTTATGCTACCTCTGTATAGCAGTGAGAAGGTCAGAGAGGGCCAGAGAATATCAAATATATATAGTCAAACAACAAAGACACAGCGCATTCTTCATATTAGAATTAGCAGCACCAAATAGGCAAATTTATCATCCAATGAGCTTCCAAGAATCAGAAAGAACCACTATGCAGAACCAAATGGGGGCATAAACTTGAATCAGAAATCCCTACTCATTTAGAATCTTTCAGGCTTTCACATTAGCATTACCAGCACCTAATATTCACAAAATTCATAGTCATTCACAAGAGATATTTTAGCTAGCAGAACATTAATCGGAAATCATGCATAATAGGATTCAAGAATGATGAATTATCGTTCAGATGAAAAACAAGAGGAGTACCGCTAGAAAGAACAAGAGCAGCGAGCAGCAGCAAAACAAACATATTTTAGATGAAAATCAAAGACTAAAAAGAAACGGATTAAACAGAAATACTATACAATTTAAAACAAAACAAAAAAACAGAGAGAGAGATTGTGAGAAGAATAGTATCAATGGAGCAACGAATTAAAAGAGGACTAGAGACCAGAAAACCACGACGGAGCAATTAAGCAACCCCCGACTACGGACAACGATAGAGGCCACCGCAAAAGGGCTGAAGACAGAGAAGGAACAACGGAGAACGACGATGACGAAAGTCTCCCACGTTAACCCCTAGCAGTCCGGGCGTAGCTTTTCGCCGTTTACCCCATGCGTAATGCGTCCGCTGCTGTCCACTGCCCCTCCGTCCTTGTTATTTTATTTATTTTATTTTATTTTATTTTTGCCCTTTGCAGGAAAAAAAAGGGGGGTTTCTTAGATAATTGGTTTTATTATTTTCTGAAAATAAAAAGGAAAATTTCCAAAAAAATTACTGTTGAATTTAAAAATTCTCAAACGGCCACCTCAATAAACAAAATTTCAGTTTAGGATTAGCGTGCCAAATTGAAATTTTTAAATTTGCTAAAATGACTATATTATCTTTTTTCCCCCCAAAAAAAAACCATTAATCACTTTCACAAGCCAGCTAGTTGCCAGAACTCTAGCATCGACAGCCACTACCAGAGTTTAATAGGTTGCCGATCATTAAAGCTCTAACGGCTAGTTGACAATTAGTCACTAGAGTTTTGGGAATTTTTATCAAGTCTAGTAACGTGATTAATAAGTTCTTTGATGTTATTAACAAGTTTAGTATCGCCATTAACAACATGTTTTCTAGAAAATTTAAAAAAATAACATTTCAAAAAGTAGCATTTTCACAACTCAAGTAACACGATTAACAAGTCATATAACGATATTAACAACTTTCATAATGCTATTAACCACGTGATCTAAGAACTTTTCACCGAAGCTCTGGCAGCAACCATTTTTTTTATAGATTTGTTTAAGTCGAGTAATGCGATTAATAAGTTCTTTAACGTTATTAACAAGTTTAGTATTGCCGTTAATAATAGGTTTTCTAGGAGATTTAAAAAGTGGCATTTTTTCAACTTAAGTAACACAGCTAACAAGTCATGTAATAATATTAACAACTATTATAATGCCATTAATCATGTAGGGGGTGTTTGGGAAGCCCAATAAGCACTTTTCTGCAAATCAAGGCAAATTCTTCCACATATTTACTTCGTATACTGCAAAAGCACTTCTAAAACTATGGTTTTGATCTTACCCAAACACTCCCTTGATCTGAAATCCTTTTACACTTTAAGAAATTAGCAATGACATCATAAATGGGCAAATTTTCAAGTCCAATAACGCCATCAACAAGTTCTTTAATGTTGTTAATGAGTTTGATATAGCCGTTAATAATAGGCTTTCCAAGAAATTCAAAAAGTATTACTTTTACAATTTTAGCAATGTCGTTAACAAGTTATATAATGATATTAACAACTGTCGTAATGCTATTAAAAAATTTCCTTATGAAGGTTGATATTTTTAAGGGAAAATTACACACAGGTCTCACAGAAGGCAATTAATTATGAAAAAGTCCCTAAAACTCCCCAAATGCTTCCTAAGTCCCCAGGGACCTTGGGAAAATTAACTTCAATTATGATATTACCTACTTATCCCTGTTAATTTGAGTGTGAACAATTTGCCCACCTTAAACCCTCGGGACCACCTTCTTCGCGTTTCCAGCTTTCCGTTACAACACAGGTAGCTTCACATCTATTGGCAGCGAGCTTCACATCCATCGGCAACCAGCTTCACTCACATCATTGACGACCTTCATACCCCATCATCGACGACCTTCACACCCCACTGCTAGTGAGCCTCGTGGGTTCCATCATCAATGAGCTTCGCACCTAACCGCCAGCGAGCATCTCTCTCTCTTGGTATATCATATTGATATTATCTATTACTGGTATATTTAGGTAAGTCGCTTCTCAGTTTCAAAGCAGTAGTTGTTAGCTCAGATGGTATCTTGTTACAATTGAGGCCTGAGGATCCTGACCCATGGAAATGGAGAGGAGTGAAATGCGATCCTAAATCCAAGAGTTATCACTCTAATGAGTTTCCATGATGACTTTTCTTGCTAAGTTCATGTTATATTAGTAAATGATTCTCAGATTTGAGGTGCGTTACGGTAGACAAATTTTTCTTAATCTTATATCTAATTTTACTTTCATTAGTGATATTTGAGGAGTTTAGCTCGCCATAAGTTGAGCAGATCTATACTACCTGACCTTGGGAGGCTAAAGCATTTAACTGTTCTGTATGTACTTTTGATTATGTATAATTTTTCCGAGACATTTGATTCTGGTGCTTTACTGCTTGCTGTTGGATATGATTTAATCATAATCTGTGTATGTTGTAGTGCCCTTCACAACAACAATTTCTATGGGGTAATTCCATCTGAATTGGGAAATTGTATTGACTTGCAGAGAATGTATGTATCTTATTTTGTTCCTTTTCCACATCAATTCTCTTACTTGGGAAATTATATATAATCATCTTAGTAGGTGAAGAAATTATGCTAAAGTGATTTAACATCATAACTAAGCACGCAATCCTTGATGATATAGCTAAACATGTTTTCCTATACAATACACAAAATATGAGGGATGAGCCATGTTATTCATGACTTTTGATTAGTGTAGCTTGATAGAGATTTTATATCAATATTTTGATATATTGATTTCACACCGACATTTGCCATAGTATTTTTTCTGTTGGCCTTCTATAGAACTTGACTTTTTAGAAATCAAGTTAATAGGAAATATTAGGTTTTTGTATTGGTTTTGATTGATTCCTATCGAGAATAATTTGAATCTTTCTTGTACAGATTCTTGCAGGGCAATTACCTAAGTGGAGCGATTCCAAATGAACTAGGAAACCTATCACAACTCAAAAGTTTGTGAGTGTAGTATTTTAGTATAGTTTCTGGTTCATTTCATCCAATTTTTGTTGTTATAAGGATGGACAAATCACATTCATTCATTATATTCCTGTATTTTCTAAGGATATATCAAGTAACTCCCTCAGTGGTAATATACCTCCATCACTTAGGAAACTGTATAATCTTAAAAATTTGTAAGATGCCTTGGTTTTCTTTGTTTTTTTTTTGTTTTTCACTTTGCTCTTTTTTATTTATATGTTTTGTAGATTTTACTATCAAAGCAAAATTGAATGTTCTTATTGTTGTGGTAATGATTGATGCTTTGAACCTTCAAGTAATGTTTCAACCAATTTTTTGGTCGGACCAATACCTTGTGATGGTGGCAACATTACTAAATGCACATGTTAGTCATTTAAAAATAGCCAAACTCATTTGTACTTAATGCTTTTATCAAGAGACTGAGGATGCCAAAATTAGTAACTTGTAACCAGATTGTTATTTTTAAGGGTTGATTTACGTATTTTCTAATTTCAAGGATTAAAGTTGATTAAACTGCTAGTATGGGACCATATTATTAATGTACTCTAACATAAGCCAAGGATTGATTTACTTTATCATTCCAAAAACAAATAACCCCTCT